AAATCATGTTGCCGGAAGTCACCTGCAAGTTGTCGCCATTGGCTATTCGCAGACTGTATGGAAAGCGGTTTGAGAGTTGGGTGGTGGTCGATAGTGTTTTCGTTCATTTCATCAGACTGTTTGGTGATGTGCGGGATACTCATTTTCGACTCATCTCGCACGTGTACTTTCACTGCCATCACACCCGCATCAAACCTTCGCGAATTACACAACATCGTGCGGTTAATTTTATTGCACTGAAACAGATTGAATTCAGAAACAGTATCAGCCTGATGGAAAATGGTCGTTCGATCACACAACTTCAATGTGGACACAATGAAAATGCAGAATGTCGATCATGCGTAGCCTAAACTATTATTGTCTCACTGACGGCGGTGCAACTTCCATGTCGGTATTTGGCTTTCTGCTCCGTCCACTATGATGAATCGAACGGCGCGGTAGCTTAAGACAGCCCGTTATGAAGACAAATGAAAATTATTATAACTGTATTTATAGGATCACCACAGAGTGTTCCACAATAATCTTCGTGAGAAGGTGAGAAGTTTCGAGCTATAGATGCCCCATCCAGATTGGTTACGATTCTGGCCAATCAAGGCACGCCTTCGTTTACTCCGTACCCCGCACGTGGCACATCCGTCCAATCGACGTGTTCGGTTATCAAAAGCGAACCGTTTGCTCACAACAGGCGATGCCTCAGAGAGGGAGAAAAGACTAGCCTGCCGAAATAAGTGGATGAATAGAAGAGAAAACCGACCCGACTCAATATAGGCATGCTTAATTTCCCGTCTTCCACGGTTATTTAATGAATAAAGGAAGCGAAACGTTTACTCGCCCGTGGAACACTTATTGCATAATTGATGGGATTAGTGCAGCCAAAAATTACAATGACCTTGAGAACAATGCGAATTGCTCTTCTTACATTGCCGTTGAGAAGTCATTCTTGAACGTTTTCCCGAAGATTGAAACCTAGGTGTTCTTAAACGGGGTAACCTAACCGCCGAACCCAGTGCACAAAGGCTTTGCTTTCGGTCTGTCGATATATTGGATTTCTGGGCCGAGAACTTGGGGAATTAAAGTCAAGATTTTCCCTCAGCCTTAAGGCACTATACCCGTCCTCACAGCTATCCAAAAGACGATCAAGCATCACTCGGTCTACCCCACACTCAAAGGGGTGGGGTTCTCTAACCAAATTCGGAGCTTTGAAAGACAGAATGGAAAGAACGGGAGGTCGTCATGGAAAGTGCGAATTCTCAAACACTTACTTCCAAACAATTCGTTCTCTATGCTGCAGAGACTTCGCACATATATGTAAAAGATCCCTCAATTCACTTGCGTTGGTTGCTTGATAGCAGACACTTCCTTGGGCCCTCGTAGCAGTGGATTGATGGACACGGACTTTTGCGGATGGATCCGCAGATTCTTTGCCAAGTAAGCATGCGGATTGTTCATGAGCGAAATTTTCAGAATGCACCTGCTGGTGTAAAGTTGGTCGGACGTTACCGTGTCTGATATGGTTTTCACCTGTGACGCCAGTTGCTGTCGTGTTCAGATTAACCAAAATCGAAATTCGCAACATGGGACGATTGGAATACGCATGTAAAGACAGAAGAGCAAACGAGAAAGTTTCGCGTCGGCTCGAAACGAGTTTGCTAACTAGCAACAGAAAGTTCAGTTGCTAGGTACTGTCAATCTTTGAATTAGGCAGCAGCTACTTCTTCCGAATAATGCTAACCAGTAGTTTACGTTTAGATGGAAATTTACTTACTGCCACTCCTCGTCAGTCGTGTCGTCCAAAGAACTCTTGTGTGAATATCTACTTTTACGCAGTTGGCAAGAACAGACCATATGACTAACGCTTAGAACCTCATACAACACTCACAACCCCCCGCCTACATCTCAATCACGAGTACATGTCTACTGGTTGTTAAGCGCTTGCCATCGGACTGTTCAACTAATTCGAAAGGCCGTTCCACACAGTATTTTGATAAATACCAAGTCAACCTTAAGGCACTATACCCATCTCCATAGCTATCCAAAAGACGATTAAGCATCACTCGGTCTACGCTAAAAACGTGCGACGGGCGTTAGAAGTTTATCCTACACAATGAGACTACAGGCTCCCTGTATCTGCTGAACAATATTAACTACTACAGGCTGACCGAATTCTCACCCATCAAACCCTGGCCAATCAAAGTTATCCTTGTCGAATTATTCTAGGGCTTTTGCACACCACCTCCGAAATCGTCACCTGAAACTACCTGGCAAGAACCATATGACTAACGCTTAGAACCTCATACAACACTCACAACCCCCCGCCTACATCTCAATCACGAGTACATGTCTACTGGTTGTTAAGCGCTTGCCATCGGACTGTTCAACTAATTCGAAAGGCCGTTCCACACAGTATTTTGATAAATACCAAGTCAACCTTAAGGCACTATACCCATCTCCATAGCTATCCAAAAGACGATTAAGCATCACTCGGTCTACGCTAAAAACGTGCGACGGGCGTTAGAAGTTTATCCTACACAATGAGACTACAGGCTCCCTGTATCTGCTGAACAATATTAACTACTACAGGCTGACCGAATTCTCACCCATCAAACCCTGGCCAATCAAAGTTATCCTTGTCGAATTATTCTAGGGCTTTTGCACACCACCTCCGAAATCGTCACCTGAAACTACCTCACGGATTTGTAACTCTTGGAACGCCCTTCCTCGTTTCGTAGGTTTACCTCTAACTATTGTCTTTGCGATGCGCCTTGAGTCAATCCCAACACTTAAATCAGCACATGGTATTAAGTGCCAGTAGCACCAATACTTGGGTGCTTTGTTTTCCGCTATTCGTTCTTTCTATGAAAATCCTGTGGGGACTTTGAAGCATTCACTTCTTTACCTGCTTTTTACCGTTGAACTAATACTGAAACTCAGATCTCTAGTGTTAAGTGATTGCCACCACGCCTGCACTAGTTTCTTCATTGGGTCAGCTAATATGTAGCTCAGGCAGACCGCTTGACAAGAAATGCCCGAAGTGACAGAAAACTGAATGGTTCCAATAACCGATGTTATTTCTTGGTAGACTTTGGAAGACGCTCCAGTTCGGTAACGCTGCGCTATTTCGTTTTCCAATCTGTATGTACTCATTGCTCCTGAATGCCGTTAATTTCACCCATTTTGCAAGCTAAGTTGGTATCAATCTGCTATGCTCACAAAACTCGGGTAAGAGTAGCAATTGTAAAATAGAACATGATTAGTAAAATGACCTCCGATCTAATGCATTCTAAACTGAGTCCCCTGCCCCATGGAGTTCCTCAAAAACCTATATTGGTGAAATACACTCGTTTGCAAACAAATTCGGTTTTGGGACAGACTCACCTGGAACCCAGCTGAATATTTCGTTTGTGATTTTTTCAGGCAACTGAATGTGCTGCACCAGGCCGTCTCATGTTTCAGTTGGTGCGAGATAACGCGATGCATGTATATACGTAATGCACTTATGTATCGACACTATGACTTAATGAAGGATCTGAAGCGAACTGGTCAAAATACTTCAGTACCTCTAGCTCCAGTAGGATACCAGGAAAGGTTCCCGCCGATTTTGTTCAGAGACGTAGTCTTGTATCAAAAACACAGTTAGCTATGTATGCTTCAGTAACCGTGCACAGCACGTTTCTGAAATCTCTCTGCTCTCACACATTCTGTCAAGTTGCTTCGTGGTTCTATACAGTCTGACTAAACATGATTGGTGTGGGAAAATGACTACAAAGCTGCACGTAAAAACTTCATAACGTTTAATCTCAGGAACAAAAGTAGAATCACCTTGTTTTAGTATCTTTTATCCAGTTGCGAAATTTGACTTATTCACCTACATTCTATTGTCCCCCGATTGTGGTTTCGCAATTCCTACGCTGCTCTTTGGCTTGTTGTTTCACTCTTTATGGTATGTTAAAAGATAATGGACGATTAGTACAACGATCAGTACAACCACTAACCCACCGCTACGCACCACCACGCTTCCCAACAACGCATTGATGATGTCACTTCGATTGGTGATGAAACGTGTGCAATCAAATTGCCCAGCTCAGCGAACAAGCCCAACGACCACTACCCTACCTGAGCTACCAACATCTCCCTCTATACATATGTATACTTGGAGCGCTCATTCAATCTTCCGCAAGACCACGCCAAAGCATTCATGATGGGTTGGAAAGTGCCGAGCCAAAAATATCCGATTCTGATTGGCCCTGAACACACTACATAGGTCGCGCTCCGTACGCCTGTCCACCAACTTCCTCGGAGAGCCATTTTTCCACAACACGGAGGGTGGAAACAAGCCTGGGGAAGTCAATGACTTGGCAGTGGAATACGAGAGTCATTACCGGCGAACTAAGCTGTCTCCACAATTTGGGCTGCGAGAATGGGAAAATCAATGTTCAGAGATATTGGCAAACATGGTCCCGTCGCGTGCTCAATAGTCCGCATGAATCCAAACTGTTTTCTGCCAGCCGTGGCTTCCTCTGCAGATCTCCCTGGTGAAAAGTCCACTGTCCACTCCTGGATTCAGCTGCTGCCTCTAACGGTTAGCCATCATCCCCAATCTTCGGTGAACGAAACTCTGGTAGCCATAACCAATAACCAGTATACGCTGTTTACAGTTGAGGATTAATGATGATGTACACTCATTCTCCCCCACGTGATTTCAACGTAACATTGACTAATTCCCGTCTTATATATTCCTAAATTTAGTCTGGTCTGACCAACGTGATACTGCACGTAGTTCTCTCCCACAATTTGTCCACGTGTGAAACTGAGATTGAAGGAAGGTGTATTGTGCCAGTGAGCTTCTGTGGTGGACTGGACCCAGTGGGGTTTTTAAACCTCGCTTTGCATTCCCACCCTTGATCCACACTACTCTCAAGGATGTACGGAATCGGAACACAAAATCATGTAGTTACCATTTTCCCTACTCATTCCTGTTTTCTGTTTCTCTCCGCGCCCAGGAGGAAGCCAATACGGGCAAACCGAATTGGGAACATTTGAACGAAAACCTGCATGTTGTACTGACCGTCGAAGATTTTGAGAACCGAGCGAAAGCACGCTTAGCCAAAGCGAGCGAATACATTAATTTGTTCTTGAAGGAGAGTATGAAAGGGGTAAGTTGCAGCCTGTTTTGTTTATCTGCATACGTGGCGTTTGTGATTTATGACACCCAATCGCAATAACAAAACCTGTTTTGAGCACTCAGAAGCCAATGTTATCTAGGTTCTTGACTCGGCTTCCAGCTGCATGGCCCACAGTGCCGAGTAATACGTGTTGAACTCGATTTGGAAGTCCGATTTGCACCCCAGAACGACAGGGGTAGACTAACACCAGGTCCCTTCTCCATCCATTTTTTTCTTTTCTTCACTGTAAGACTTTCAAATAAATTGTCGTTGTACAGCTGCGAAGCATTAGTGTTGAGTACTGGTGTTGTGCTGTCATTGATATTGATTAACACAACGCTCATTTATGAGTGACACATGCTGACCAAGGGGAACTTCCTTCCTTTTTTGAATAGGTGGAAATAGAACTGGAGTCCTGCTTTCAGTTAGCACAGCTTCTCACTCGTTTCCCCATTGCTAGGACTAAGTTTCCTCTCGCGTTTTTTCTCTTCTCAGCGTAGCCCTCCTATATGTTCATAGCAGAATATCACTACTATGAGAGTACATTTTGTATTCTACAGTGGTCAGCAGTCCCAGTTTCAGACATGGAAGATCATTGATCCGGTTTGTGTATGCGTACGTATTGCACTTTCTAACCCCCAGCTAGTAGCGATTCGCTTGTAATTCTGCATACACCCATTAGCGTCTATGTAAACTCACATGTGGTTGCTTTGGTGTAGAGGCTCCAGTCTTTACACGCGCGTGTGTGTGTGGGTGTCTGTGTAAGTACTGGTGTGCTTGTGACCTAGTGCTGCATGTTACCAAGTGACCATCAAATAGAGCAGCTTGATCTGAAGAGCCGATCTTCAGAACCAATAGTTGACGCGATTGACCTCAGATAGTAGCGAATATGTCTCCATCCTTATCACCCCCTGGCTCGATTAGCTCGCTTCACTCTTCTTTGGATGAGCAGTTTTTATACTCTCTGAGTCTATCTGACATCTGATGTAAATATAGGTGACGTTTTAGAATTGACTGACGTAAAATTAACCCACTACCTTAACGCTAATGGACATGTAAATGACAGGAGATTATATTGGGGCGTTGTCTGCACCACTTGAGCTTGTTTTTACAGTGTCTCAACTGAAGGTGGATGCTCTTGTCTTTAGCACAACCCTTATGGCAGCAGTTGGCATTCAGAGAATTTCTTTGTATCAGGGATGACAGCAGAGTCAACTAACACGAGCGTTCTGAGTTGTGCAGAATATATAGCTTGAGACGATGTTATCCAGATTCTCTTCTCTACTTTGACTACCTGGGTGAGTATGTGTACAGTTAGACCCCCCTTCCGCTTAGTGATTGTTTTTTGTCCGTTCTATTACATTCATGTTGTGAATGGGTTCCCACATTATTGGTAGGAGCAATCTGGATAGATTTGTCCCTTTTGTCAGCTACTCTTCCTCCTATTAATTTTATGAATGTTTCATTTGTTTCACGGACCAATGATTGAGTTACGATACCTTTTATGTCTTCGAGGTCGTCCATTTTCGAACGGTCCGGTCAGCAGCTAGTTTTGATAGGGTTGCTGTAGTATTGTGTATGCTCTTTCGTAAAAAGCTCCCCGTAAACGACCCTTTCTCTCATTTTCCGTTTCTCGACCTGTGCACCCCCTCCTACTGGATGTAGGTTACATGGTGTAATAGGTCCCACTTGCCCTACACCAGTCCACAGATTAGAAGGAACGGAATTTCTGGTGTCAAGCTGAGCAGCTGTACTCAACTAGTCCTTGCCCACGTTTCAATTCAATTTTCACCTCGACTTGTGCTTTGGAGAGCCTAAACAGGTCGCTCCAACGAAGGTCTCCTGGTTTTGCCTTCTGCCATAGCGTTTCCTAATATTACGTTGTGGTAAGCTTTCTTGTGTCTTGGCGAGGACACGTTTGGTGCGCTGTGAAACACAAGAGCCCATAGACGGCAAACTAACCGAACGGGTTGGTAGGAGAACCTCTTTGACCCTGGACTCAGACATGCCCAGCTCTACAGAACAAATAGATGCAGCATTTGAATGGCACCCTTGTCATTCCTTAATTTGGCAGCTTATCTGTTATTCATCGGGAAGAAACTGAACAAGAAGCTCACTTGGTTCATTAAGTACACTGTTTAACTTGGTCTCTAAGTCATTTTCTAGTAGACCCAGGCCTGTAACCAAAGATTTATTTTGAGGTGATATAGGTATCTTGCTAAACTGTCTGGTAGACTGGAACGTCTCGTTTTGTTTATTCAGTTTTTTTTTCGGATTGTCAGACACTCAACAATGGTAGTAACACATCAAAGATACTTCTGTGCAACTATGCGAACTCAACGCTCCATTTTACTAGCTGTTTTTTTCCTTCGAATACTGTCTACCACGACCAAGATGGTGAGTACCATGTACAATAGCCATAAACAGACGCTAGCTTGCGTAGGCGTCCGAATCTGTTAAAAAATTTGATTGTGTTTTCAAATTTGGTTTGCTGGCACGCACGAAATGCTTTGAGACCTACACACCAAGCTGAGTTTTGATAACCAACAAACTATACGCAACCGAACTGCCAAACTATATTTGTGCGCTCAATTCATAGCGTAAATGAACGCCTAGGAAATTGTAACAGTTCACCCATTTTGAGATCCTTTAACTACGAATAGCATGGCCACTATGCCCCTGAAGGAAGTTAGATTGCAATCCAGTTGTTCAACTGGGGAGTTTACACTACTCTCCGTTTATATCAGTGATGATCATCTCCAAGACTACTTTACTACATCCCTGTTGGATTTGGACTGAAGCCCTTTTAGAGACCAACAGCGAGTCCACTTTGTGATTAGGTGCCTCCCTGGCTCGAATTCCCTCCTCTCTCCCGAGAACGTGCCAGTTGTGTTCTGTTTTTCCCTATATTCCGACATGGGGTACGTGCTTGACCGCTTATTATGCACGAAGGTTGTTGTTAAACTAATGCTTGTTTTTTTATCGGTATACTCAGTGGAAAAACTCATGTCATCAAGTGCAGCGCCTTTTCGGAAGAGTGCTCATCCAAATCAATCAGAACGAAACACCTTATTAACCATGTGATAATCCTGTTGACTGACTGTTGATCAGATGGCAGTTGATTTGTTCGTTGAGTTTGGCAATTGGCTTGCAAGTGTTTCGTTACCATTCGCTTGGACATTATGAATGCGAGGTTGGGTGGCTCCTACTAGCTTTCAAGATTGTGAAGTGATGCTTTCCATCGGTTCTGTAAAAGATCGTTTTGTGATCCTGTCCTCTCAGTTTGACGAACAAGAACAGCCACACCAGGATGGAAGGATGACTGTTCAGATACAAATGATACGAAGACGGGTTCCACAACCCCTTCAACTATAGGCAATACATAATTTCATCGCCCTGGTGCAGAAAGCCTGCGGTAGGTTTCTTATCAGTCATCTTGGGGCGAGATGGCCCAAGTGGTTAGAGCGCGAATTTGCTGACCGGAAGGTCCGTGGTTCGAACGAACTTTCTACCTGACGACCTCCCCCTGTCTAGGCTTGGGCAACCTGGCAGTATCCCAGCTCTCGTGCAACCTTCAGGTGGCATGGCAGTTAGGTACCGAAAAGATGCTACAGCTGGACGGTTTTTTACCAGTTATCTCTCCCTCGAAGAACATTTTCGATCGGAGGAACATTTTGGTGTGACCCGGTGATGCTCCTTCTAGGGAAGGGTGCATGAGTACGTGAATATGTCACTGACGACCTCCCCCTGTCTAGGCTTGGGCAACCTGGCAGTATCCCAGCTCTCGTGCAACCTTCAGGTGGCATGGCAGTTAGGTACCGAAAAGATGCTACAGCTGGACGGTTTTTTACCAGTTATCTCTCCCTCGAAGAACATTTTCGATCGGAGGAACATTTTGGTGTGACCCGGTGATGCTCCTTCTAGGGAAGGGTGCATGAGTACGTGAATATGTCACTCTCGGACCATTTGTTCTCCACAGTAATTGTGCAGAAGATATTTGCGTCTGGTGGAGCGGCAACTTATACCCCCTCCAAGTAAGGAATCTTCTGCGAAGATAACCTTGTTGCCCACTCCATAGGGTGTTCTTCGTTTATATTGAGCACTACACATACTACGGCTCCGTGACTGCTTTTTGTCTAACTTCACCACTTCCAGTCCAGTTTTTCTCAAACATCAAACTCCAAATCAGCATAAGAACGAAACGTATGTGAAACGAATACAGTTTTGAATTGTCCTCATTGAAGGACAGTTGATCTTTTGAAAATCCGACGACCGTACCTGTTGGTCTCACAAGCAAACACAGTCATATTTCTCAAAAACCAGATGCACATGTATCCTCTGTGCTCAGACAAACACGAATCTTTCCTGTTTTTTTCTCCTCCACACGTAAACTGAACGTGGTTGATCTGTCTTGCTCTTAGCAGTTGTCATCTTCGTCACATGCTGTACCTGCTTATAATCCACAGAACAAATGTTGTGTGTCTGCGTATTGACGACTCTAACCCGGAGAAATCATGACAGTTTCACATTCAATGCGATCGGTAACCATCCTTGAAATAGCACCATGAATCTCAGCAGTACTGTTGTTTAGTTTATTTATGAGTGCTGATTGCTTGTAACAAATCAGGAGCCCGCAAACACATACAGACACCGCGTGCTTAGATGCAGCATGACTGGTTGTGTGTGGTGATAATTCCGCAATGGCAATCTCTCCAACCCGTATCATGCTGAGCTACTACCTAGGAAGACCTTTAAACAAAATGGAGAATAGAAGACAGTCTGTCATAGACATTACAACAAACCAAGTGGTAACGTATGTTCAAAAGCATTTAATGTTTTTCATTTGTTCGTCCTCCGAGTGATTTGGTCTGCTTGGTACCGGTCAAATATCGTCAGATTCGTTGAACAAAGCAATTGGTGCTTGGTCGTCTTCCTGTTACCCATGCCATACGATAACGGTATCTGGTTTTATTTCCGACAGATTGGAAGAATGACTCGTCAATTCATCTTTTATCATAGCTGTTATTGTCCACCTCAGCTTTGCGTCAAAGGTTGCAAAAGTACAACCCAACTCGTGCGCTTCCAAGGCCAGCGCTTTTTCGACCAGCCCCTCGCTCCTCGTAAAAAGCACTTCAGTGTTCACATGTATTGTATTTACGACTCACTTGTGCACTCAATTGATGCGGGCGGTTACTCAATCTAGCTTCGAACGAATCCCTCGCTTGTTTATCAGATGCTCATTGCTTAAGATACTTCAGTACTTAGTTGAGAGGATATTCAAGGTATCGGAGGTTGTTTTATTTGTTAGTAGTATGGAGATTTTTCTGAAAAGTCGTCCTATTTGTGACTCACCAGATAAGCCTAGTCTTCGGGTTTCAGCCTAAGTGCGGAAAAATTAATGTAGGATCTCTCATCGGTTTTCTCACACTGAGAAATCCATCCTTAGAAGCCTGCTCTTATCTAAGATTGTACCGTGAAATCTCGACTCCGTACATGCAGAAGTTCACGAAAAAACCCGGAAATGTTTTGATTGTTATAATTCTGTCCCTGCAAGTGGTCCGAATCGAACTGCATCATTGTGCTTGTTGCTGTTTAACTGTTCTCTGTCTTGTTCCTGGTCTCCAATAAATAACCTAACTTGCTCCTCAAGTTGTCAAAACGCAGCGGTCTTACTGGAGCCGTCTTCCAGCAAACTCTCACTCATTTTATTGCACGACTTTTGCCCTTCACATTTCGAGCTATCAAATTCCATTCACTCGTTGAACGGGCCCTTCAACTTTGATCCGATTTTGATGCGAACGATTTTTTATCCTAACCACATTCTCCTTAATTCAGTTGCTCGCTCCTGCATCACGACTTGCTCGCTTTCCACCCTGAAACGTGTATTTCCAACAGGATTGTTTAGCTCCTTATACACTGCTTTTGTAACTCCTGTCTTCCGAAATTTCAGCCCTTCATGGTGTGGACGTCTGCTTTATTTTTGAACACATAAGAACGTGTACCATTCCAGTCCTCAGCCGGCCTCAAAAGATCGAGAAATACGATAAATCCATGGCCTAATAGGTCCCCCCAGAAGATCAACTTTCTCAAAGCCGTACCAATAGGTGATGAACAGTGTTTTGATTGTTCAGCGTCGCTGAAATCGAATGGACAACATCGACAGATGCTTAAGGGAGAACGGATGTTTGGATCCATCAATAGGAAACGGCCCCTCAAAAGGCACATTTTGATATCTGAAGGTGTTTCTTCAAATGAGGAATACTGCATACACCCGTATTTGTCTTTGTTTAGTTTTCCTTAGATCGTCAGTCCTCCCTGAGTTTGCGTTAAATCGCACTTCCAAATCTTCTTTCTGCGCTTTTATTCTGGCGATATTTGAATCGCAGTGAAATACACCATTCTATTCCATGAGTCATGCAGACAAACGTTTGAAAGCTCAGAAGCAACGATTTTCCTTTGGATAGAATAATCAACCGATCTCTAGTCCTCGGACTTTTAGCATCATGCGGCTAATTAGTGGTGTGCCTAATTTTTACTTTTACACGGAATGGTACAGCATGTCCCCAAACGCCATATACTCTATGCGTCGACAAACGTTTCTGTTCTGTCATCCAGCTGACCTATCTGAATTTATCTTCCAGTCTGATAAGGATGACAAGGTGAAGCAAATGCAGCTGATGGAACTGTCCTTCAGAAGAGGTAGTTCCCTTCTCACCCCAACCATTACCACTCGTGGCATTTTTATTGTTACTATTCTAACGCCGTCTTCCTCATTCTTTTCTCCATTTACCTAACTTTTGGTGATCGCTTATTCTGCTCTCTCCTCTCTTTGTTGCAACGAGCGCCATCTATTCAGTTGTGCTCAGATCAACAGATATCCTAACCGATGTGAGTACTCACCTGCCTGTTCCCAGAATTTCTGTTCCAAAGTCCTCTCCCTCTTAACGTGGTGCGCCAACTCACTTCTTGTTTGTCCCTTGGTTGTTCCTCATTCAACCGACAAGTCAGTGGTTTTCATCACTCCTCCGTGTACCTATTTCCACTGCAATCTTGGATAGGTTCGAAGGACGTTGAGCGAAGAAACAAACGCTGCCTCCCGTTGTATGCGACGAGTGAACTCGCAAATCCTACAAAATCCGTTGGCTTCGCCGTAATCAGTTCTAAAGGAGAATGGTATTCGGTCAGCTGTTGAGATCGGAGACTTGAAGATGTGATGTGTTTGCCTGTCTAATGTCATTGCGTCGACGGTTCACACAAAAACGGTGCCTTGCGTTCGAATTACATGGACACCCCTATTCGTGTGTACTTATCTAAAATCAGACAAGAAGTCACCCGGTCTATCAGACCTCTATCCACTCGCTAAATCATATACTATACTGCGACTGAGAGGCTTTCCGATAACGAACTTTGCAAACCGACTGAAACTGTAACTGGTCAACGTCTGACTAGCTAAAGTCCAGAGCGGCCAGGATCCGACACAAGGGCTTTCCTTGTCCAAACAGCGTGCCATCTATATTTGACTAGGTAATGGGACACTGCCGTCCCCTAAATCACAGAGCTGGTGTCGTCTTGAGCACTGCTTTAGGCCATCAAATATGCTGAACCCGAAACGACCAGCTACCGTAACCGTGAGGCAAGGCGGGGCCAAGTACTTGATCTTCAACACTGGGCATTGCTAAGTTAAAATAGATCCTTTTAATGTATTGATTTGATTGTTCATTCTTTCCACACCGACAGATCTGCGTCACCTGAAGGCTCAAACCTGGTGTCAGTTTCTCGGGCTAGCTGACACTCGTTCGTCAGGTGTGCAGACTGATAAAGCCTTAGCTACGTGCTATGATGTCTTCCGGTCAGTAGATTCGAACAGCACAAAAGTGAACCAATTGTGTTGAAACAATACTGGGGCATACGGGCTATGTATTTCCACCCTGGGGAGGTGACAAGCAGTACTAGGTCCGTTTAATGAGGTGCAAAAAGTTCAGAGATAAAAATAACCTCAGGAATCGCACGGTTCTGTTGCCCAATCTGGATAAACGAACGGGAATGCTGCGACATTCCCCGTATCTACTGATAGATGCGGGGAACTCTATGATTTATTATGAGATCTGCTCCATGTCCCGTAGCTAACACTGGCGGTTGATGTTGTGCGTGCGAAATGGATTAATACTGCTTTCTCCAGACGAATTCATTGATAAGTTTGCTGATAGTATTCAGTGGGTCAGATCGTAGAATATCTCACAGCATTCCGTTCATCCTTACACCCAAATGTATTGACTGAGAGTGTCTCAACTGGATATCCGACAGACAGTAGAACCTCATTAGAACCAGAAGCATTACAACGAACGAGCGTTTTAGTCCAAGTGGATGCCACAGTGTTGAGTGATTGCTGCCACAACGATCCAACTGAGAAAAAACCTTTTACATCGGCTTTTTAGTTTAATGACATTTACAAATGCAACAACTCGGGCAACGCGAAATTAGATGTGCAGGTGCAGAACCGTTAAGCACCAAGGGGGTAGCACGAGATGAATAACAATCATTTGGACGCCTAGTTGCACTGCAGTCTTCCTGGCACAAAGAATGAAGGTATTAAAATACCTACGCTGCCTGACTATAAGCTGTCGTGAAAATTACTGTCCGTGTCCACAGCTTCTTCGAACGATCCTTGGCATGACATTGTGAAGGAAAATATCACCACCGCCCATTGGCTATTGGAGAGCAACTCACAGTTGTTGAGTTTCTGGATGTCATATGGCGTTTATCCACTCGTTACAGATTTCGATAGCTTTCTTTCTGTAGATGGAGACTTTCAGTCGAGAACCATGGCGTTGAAAATCCTCATAGGGCTTCATCCTCGACAGAAAATGATGAAATTGGATCCTACACTACCCTATCATGTCTTATATGATCCATTTGTAATCGAACAAAGCTGTGGTGTTGTCTGAAGATTTTGAAGATCTGTGCTGAATTTTTTGCACAACTGCTATTAAGCGAACGCAGCTAACAGATTTTTAGCAACTGCTTTCGTGCAAATAAACTTAGTCAAATCCCAGCAAAGAATTCGTTAGTACTGTAGTGAAACTCGTAGCTTAGTGACATCCATTGGGAGAACCAGTATCGCTAAGTGCGGATTGTCCCTTCTTCAGGAGTGTTGTATATATATATACTCGAAGACCCGATGCTATTCAATGTTTTAATCCTAAGCCAACTTGACATGTTAAATATGCAAATTAGCTTATTAATTCATAAATTGATCAAGTGAACAATTGTACTTTCTATTCATCATCATCGACAGCACATCAGCGTTCAGTATTGATGTTTCACCGCCGTGCGTACTCCTCCAGACACTCACTCTAAATAGAAATGACGACAACAACGCCATTGACATCAATTAGCAGCCATATCTTACAGCGTCTCCATTCACACACAGGGGGGATCGCGCAGACACCCCAACGTGGTGGACACGAACAACAACGGACTAAGGTTGAATAACCTCTTGATTTAACCCGACGAACTGCTGTGAGTGGGAACTTTGACGTACGGACATGTGGGATAGGAGGTACAATAGACTCCACAAGGAAGATTCCTTCCAAAGGGGGGCGACGCTGACCTTAATTAAGATCATTTAGATTTTATTTTATCCGGGGTTTTACTTGAAATTGATGCCTTTCAATTACCCTCCAACCCGCTATCCCAAGTCGCAACAGAAATCGGGATGAAAATCTCATAAAATGGGCTTTTTTGTATTCCGGTATAAAGCGCCTTTCTCGCAAGCGCATGTCAACCAGGCTTCTTTTCAAGGTAGTTGGGAGTTTAACAACATGCTTTTCATCTGTATGGTGCATAACAAAGATATTCAGGACCCGACCGCATATCTACTTTAGATATTCATAGTTCTTCTTTGGGAGCCGCGTGATGGAACCCAATTAAAGCGATAACTTCTGAGCTGGTCCTCTACCAGCCAAAATTTATCCCTCATTAACAGCAGTCCTTTCTGAGTTTGTTCATCCAGGGTGAAACAAGTGTATCTGAAATGAAGCAAACAAAACACGTGACCTCATGCCATCAGATGCAGCAAATTCCGCGAGGCGCATTCCCGAAAATTAGTTAAATAGGACTCGCCTCACTCCAGTTTGATTGTTAAATTATAGGTTTTCACTGGGTTAAAAACAACATTGTTCGCCGCTCCTTTCGTGCTTTATTGGATGTTCAAACGCCTTCGCTCTCAACTGGTCCTTATATCTTGCTGGTTCGGCAACATTTGAGGTTAGTCGGTGTTTATTCGAAGTCGTCGATTGTGTTAAGCTGCATGTTGGCAAAAACAACAGTGCGCAGCTAATTGGACAATCCAGGTACAAGATTGTCTTCAGTGAAACTCTCTGCTGACGTGCCTGGAGAGCATTCACTATTGGCCGGTAGCGTTGTCATCCTGTAGGACGTTGGTCTCACTTCGGGTTCTGTGTGCCCTGGCAACTTCACAGTTAGCCACCACCTCAGAAGAGATAACATCAAAACACTTATGATCGGACTCTACAGGTAATCGCTACAGCTTCGAACATGATAATCATCGACGGCATCAGTGTCCAACACTGGTGCTTCGCTGCCATACAGATGTATTTTAGTGAACATGTTCTCCATCGTCTAGGTTGATCGCTGCATAGACCTCAGTATAGTGGCGAAAACTGAATGATCAGAGGTTCCTGTCCTACTGGAATATGGATTTGATAATAAAGCTGTCGGCCCCCTGGAAGGCCCTCATAGGTTTTTACCTCATTCGCGTGCTGTAGGGATACAGGTGTTGTTCTTCTACGGTCCTGTCTGAAAATGCGGTACGCAAGGATTCAACCAGTGATGCCCTTGGTTTGAGAAAAATAGTCATTAGCGCTATCACTAGGATTACCAGGATAACAATCTAGCCCACTGAGACCCTGTGGCTATCAATCGGTACGTTACGAGTGGAATTGGCCAGCTCCGAAACGTTGCTGGACGATTTTCTTTGTAATGCATCTGGGCATCATTTTGTGAGAACAGAGGATTAAACGTAAAACTGAGACGGTATATGTTTGGTCGCTATCCAATCAGATGACGACTAACCGAGTTGGGTAGGTTTTTTCGGCCTGGATTGTCACGCCGGCTCTATTTGTGGAATGTTTCCAGATCCACTCATTGTTGGCACACGAAAATGTTGAAGTCCGTACGCGTACAAGATTATGTGTGTGCAGTTCAGGATATATGGAACTTATAATCATTTTAACCAAACATTGTTCCAGGGAGTTTATGGGTGAGAAACCAATATGCACCAGTGGTGTATTGATGATGTTCCATGGGTTCTCGTTTTTGGGGCGGTTGTCGTTCAAATGCGGTTATCCAAGATGTTGCTATCTCGTTTACTTTTAGGATGATGGGAGGTTTGCGTCCCATGGGTCTTATGTTACCTCGCTAGCCTCGGTGTTTCATCTTTTTTATTGATAAATGATGTGCGAGACACTACTTTCTTGTGCAGTCGATGGAGCTGCCCCACGACTAGTTTTTAATCAGGGGAAGATCGTTGTTTTCTCCCATCGCCTGTCGCCTCCGTAATCGGCAATGTCAAGTGAATGCGCTCTTTCTAGAACCCTCGCGTTGTCCTAGGCATCAGTATAGTTCATGGTAGCTACCAGTTTGGACGATCGTATGTTCTTACTGTTTTCTGTCGATAACAGCTATGAGGATGCCATAAATCAGTACCGTTGAGAGTGTATTACATTTATTCCCTATTTATTGTGTCCCCGTCGGTCTACATAGTTAATGCATGAAACCTTACGATAACATGTGTTTGCTAACCTTACGTGTCTACTTGTCACATTTCCTTTGTTTTATCAGTATTGCTCATTTTCACTCATTTGTCGTTTATTCTAGAGCCGCGACCTTCATGGCATTTCAACTGCAACAGTCTCTTGGATGTGACTTTGCCACCTAAGCCCGGTGCACTTTTCCCTAATGCTGCGGCAGCTGCGAACATGCTCAGCTTCGGTTACAGCTATCCACCCACCTCATTATTCTCACCCTTACACCACAATTCACACCATCACCATCATCACTTTGGGCCGTTGACTCAGCCACCACCGCCGCCACCACAACAGCAACAACAAGGTTCCCCTCTTGCCGGGCCGGGAACTAACCAGCATAACCATTTGGCCGGCTTGTCTCATCCCATTCATGCGAATCTAAGCGCGGCTGCAATGTTGATGGGACATGGTTTGGGAACTGGTGGTTACACCGGTCCATTCAGTCCTACCGGTCATTCGCACGCCTCCGTGTCCACCGCGTCCTCTATGCCCGGAGGAGCGTTAGCTATGACTCCAATGAACTACTGGTCCGGTCAGAGTTTGTCTCATCTACCCACGGAATATGGTGTTGGTCATCCACACATGGCTGGTCAACAGACGACGGCAAATGGATACGGGACACCAGAGAATGGCACGTCACTAACAAGCGGTACACAACCGGCAAATGGTAATGGACATGCAGTGTTTTTGTCACAACATTTACCTCGTCCAGGGCATGAAGATACGATCTCTCAGTGTCTTCTGCCCGAATTCAACGCCTGTAGTTTGAATGGGAACAAAGAGCTTGAACCTCTGGCTGCATCAAGTGGTGGAGTGCATCCGATGCTGCATGGAAGCACCCCGAATCATAGTCTATCCACCTGCCCCATTATTCTCACCCTTACACCACAATTCACACCATCACCATCATCACTTTGGGCCGTTGACTCAGCCACCACCGCCGCCACCACAACAGCAACAACAAGGTTCCCCTCTTGCCGGGCCGGGAACTAACCAGCATAACCATTTGGCCGGCTTGTCTCATCCCATTCATGCGAATCTAAGCGCGGCTGCAATGTTGATGGGACATGGTTTGGGAACTGGTGGTTACACCGGTCCATTCAGTCCTACCGGTCATTCGCACGCCTCCGTGTCCACCGCGTCCTCTATGCCCGGAGGAGCGTTAGCTATGACTCCAATGAACTACTGGTCCGGTCAGAGTTTGTCTCATCTACCCACGGAATATGGTGTTGGTCATCCACACATGGCTGGTCAACAGACGACGGCAAATGGATACGGGACACCAGAGAATGGCACGTCACTAACAAGCGGTACACAACCGGCAAATGGTAATGGACATGCAGTGTTTTTGTCACAACATTTACCTCGTCCAGGGCATGAAGATACGATCTCTCAGTGTCTTCTGCCCGAATTCAACGCCTGTAGTTTGAATGGGAACAAAGAGCTTGAACCTCTGGCTGCATCAAGTGGTGGAGTGCATCCGATGCTGCATGGAAGCACTCCGAATCATAGTCAACAAACGAAACACGGTGGAGTCGGTAGCAGTGGGAGTACCGTAAATACAAATGGGGCACTTAGTGGTACCACCAAGCACGGCCTCAAGCCACGTTACTCACAAAAGCATGCTTCTCAGATCGCAGTGCCACAAAGCCATGCTGCCGGTTCGGATGCCACGGTCGGCCGAAGTCAGAGTCGCTCGACCATGGCAACTGTCAAAGTGGGAACAAATGAACGAAATTCACAAAAAACTGGCGGACCAACAACGATAATTCCAGAATCAAACGGATCAATGAAAGAACTGAGCAAGTCTGATACAAAACCCGAAGGAAAGTCAGTAAACAGAGAGTTAAACGGGACACAAAACGCTGTAGTAGGATCGCCTGCACTTTCTACTTCAGTGAAGCCACTTTCACTGCGGTCGACTAATTCTGAAGTCGAGTGGCCAAAACTGGGCACCAACGTCCGGGATAAAAGTACGATGGACGTCACATCTGCGTAAGTATACCTACTTTCGATCGAACCGTTAATATATCTAATGTATGCCTAGTCTCTGCTGACTCCGCGATATAATCATCCAGTCAACCCGTTGTGTGCTAATAGCCACAATATTTACTGTGCTGCAACAGGAACCGTCTCTCACAAGTTTGATAGCGTCAACCCGGGTCAGCCGACATCTCGTTAAACTACTTATCGTGAAAAAAAGCGTAAATTACCCTTCACTACACTTCGTCTGATCCGAGCTTCATTTTCAGTGTGGTGATCCTGATGTTGTCACCAAGACGTCTCCTTGCATCAAGTAAATTGCACTAAAATTTCATCTGTCGGCATGTACTCCGTACAGGATACAGCTACCTGACAAGATAACCTCAACTTGTATGTCGTCAATTTATTCGGATTTCCATCAATCACCCCATGTCAAATTAGCAAGTGTTCTCATCTTCTGATGCTTCAACCAAGCTCCGAATTTCTGGGACTTTTGGAAGGCCCAGGTAGGCAAAGGGACATTGAACCTCACCTTCGACAAAACAAGTCGTAGTAACTGGTGCCTGTCTTCACTCATTACATTGTTTGATAGGATCACCGTCTGGCAGTTCTTCTATATCTACAATCATTGGAACGAGTCTTCACACTTAATTTGGAGCAAATGGCCTGGAACCGATGTCCACTGCACTTTATTTCATTTATTTCTTACTGTGGTAGCCTATCAACAAGTGAATGACTACACCAAGCGCATGTTCTCCTTCGGAGTGACTGCGTGGCTTCTCCGGTAATTTTTCTGTCCCACTCACTTACCTTCGCTGTGTTCACAGTTGAGCGACAAAAACCCACGTAAACACTGATAAGTTGCTATACATAGTTCTGTTGTCATTTTGACCAGTGCTAAGACCTACACACATAGCCAGATTGAACGTCCGTCGAGATAATAAGCTGAACCGTTGTACCGACTCTGTATCCCTTTCTTTTCAATACGTCCGCTGACTTTTCGAAAGATATCTCGGTGACACTCTTAGGATGACCCGGAGGGAGACTTAAAGTGTCCTGATAAACATCAGTTTAGTGTCAACAGACGGGAGCAACTCTTCGGAGTTTTATTCCAGTGGCTTAACATATCTTCGGGCGGGCGAAAGTCCTGTCGATCAGAGACAGTAAGCAAATTGCTTTATATCTTATGAATAAAAAACTGCAACCCTTAACAATCATGCTTCTGTGACATGTCATCTGAAAGTTCTATTCATACTGCAGGGAATCAAGAGGAAAACCTCAGACCGCACAGCAAGTCGTTTCCCAGAATGCTCTGTCATTGACATACAGTACTCTAATCCAACTGTCGTCCATACCATGCGTACGAGGTGCACTAAGATGCTAGAAGCAAACAGTTGGAGCCTCTCATCCAATCCCATCAAAATCCATCACCATGCTGGTTCCAACTGAATATTTACTGTTGGTGGTTGTCGTACGAAAATCGAATGACTGCACAGTGATTTCTATTTTGAAAACATCTAGATACTGGAGAACTTAGCTTTTTCGTGTGGATGTGGAACATTTTGCCATACCATATCTATTGCCACGTATCGCTCTTTCGTCGATAATCACTAACAGTCACCCGTTGTGTTCGTAATCTCGTACCAAGGAATTGACTTACCGTCAACTCCTCTGACATTCCCTGTTGATTACGGGCGAACCGCCAAAAGTCTGCCGAATGAGTATTCCCAACGTAACAGATAAAGGATCTCTCTCATGCACTCTCAGGGTTGTATGGACATTATTAATTGAACACTAGCATCGCTGTAAAAATCCTAATGCTATCGCACTAGCTTTCGTTCCACTGGGTGTGCAATTATAAGTAAAGGCATACCAGCTGAACCTACCACAATCATAAACTGTTTCGAAGCTGTACATCAGTACGAAACTCCAACTGACAAGCGAGGTCCTGTTATGTATAAGCGTGTGATTGACGATTTAGCTCGCACTACGAGTTCATTAGAGGACTAACAGTATATCCTTCAAGCTAACCATTTCGCGACTGTTTTAGTTGTCGAAAAGCATATGCGACCGTTTGAAAAATTATGTTCCTGTCCATTCACTTGCTGGTTGTAGTTACTGGACCAGAACAGACAGATTAGTGACATAGAAATGTGAAAAAAAATTGGAAAGTCGGTTACGGTACCTAACCTGTCCACAACGAGGGGAGCAGCAACCAGTATACTGTGTGTTAAGACCAGGCTACCACTGTCAGCTATCGTGTGTATAAAACATCGATTTGAACCTTGTGATTGGAGGGAATATTGGTAGCTCAGACTGTACTGATGCCCGTTGGTTTGTTCACTGAGCTGAGCAATTTGGTTGGAGCCAAATTGGTGGCCTGGAACACACGACCCTTAAGACCCAGTGATATGCCTTTTTTGACACCACAAGTTTAGCGTCTACTTGTCTACTGGCAGCTTTCCCGTTCCTGGTAACTGATTCTGTTATTTTCACCTAAGAACTTGATGGATTGAATGCACTCTGTCTTCGAATCCGTCAAAATGAACTTTTGACCAACTATCCAAAGAACACTTCACTGAATTCAAACATCAAAACGCATTATCCTTCTTCTGTGAGTCTTCTGGACTGATTTGTCATGCTTCTGACTCCAGTCACTCTATCTTTGCTACTCGTTAGGGACTCTTCTGTTGGCCGGACGCGATGGAAGGGAAAAATTGGCTGGCTGAACATTATGTACTTATTACTGCAGTGTTCAAGTTGGATATCACAGATCTGTTGGGAAACCTTAGTTGAGTGTTGAGCACAACATCCTGGATAATCTAAATCACAGTGAAAAGGATGAGACTCCCATCGGGTATGGATAGTGAAGTCAGTCACTCATTACTTTAGCTTCCAATCAAGCTGCTGACCTCAGTACTACATAGCCGCCTGTACCTAGTTGGAAATTATAAGTGGAGTGTGGCCTTCCTCTTTTTTACTTATTGTTGTTCATTTTTTCGTGGCTCACACCCGGACTGAATGTGAGCAGATAAATACCCTCCGTGTACTCATTTGAACGAATTGCTGAGATGTATGAGCACTTTAGAACTGTCTCAGACAGCATCCAGCTCGTTTTGGATATTTGGCGATAAAGAACCGTGTTCGGCGTGCATTCCTCTCGTTCGTTTTGGACATAGCCGTAAAGAACGGGATCCCTATCCGATGAAGATATGGGCATTGCTTCAAACTGTTTGATCGAATTTTCCGATCAGCACACGTGTCCTTGTGCGTATAAAATTTTGAATATCCCATTCATGTGGACCCGACGTAATCGAGTCTCGTTCATTTCCAGTGGTTAGTTTGGAGCGGCGTTATTTATAATGGTTGACGTAACCACATGCTCTTCTTACGATGCAGTGTGCACCAAAAAGTTCTTTATTTATTTTCCCTTCAGCTAAACGGTTCCGATCTATGAACTCTTGAACATCGTACAAAACGTATATCATTCGTGCTCTCTAGGAGCGGAACGTTCTACAGCTTTCTGGACAACGTGCTGATCTGTGTGTTAGATTCTCGCCGATGTAACTTTTCTCCTGGTTTCCTTCAGACTGTCTTCCTTTGTTCCTGTTTCTTCCCCATTTCCCCTCCCAGATGGTGGCACAAAGAGATATCTTTTCTACTCACGCTCTCTACCTGTCTACGTCAGTCTTTCTATTCACTGGTCTATCCCCCTCCCCCTCCCTCAATATAGTCACATTATTCCTCATCCCCCCTTGTGCATCATGTTTCAGACGAGTGTTTTTTATATCTGTTAAAGGTTTTGCGATGTTCTTTTTATTGGATTTTGTTATCAAACGGCAATTAGAGGTTCTAGGCTCGAGGGAATGCCGTTGCAACTGGTGAAACGTAGTTGGATCCATAAGGAAGCGTGAACTATTTTCATGAAGGGAACTACTCCCAAGGTTGCTGAAAACTCTTCGACAGCCCACGACCGGTTTCGCCCTTCTTGGAGCCCATCAGGTAGGCGCAGTCCCCGAGTTTCCGTCAACGTCATGTCCTACCTGAACGTTCACTATTCTATGACTGGTCCGAAACTTGCATTCCTACGCATCGAGCCAACCTATTCCCGAGTATGTTATGTGTAGTTGCACTGCGGATGGTAGAAGTGCCATATATTGTCCAGTTTCACCTGAAACCGCTGGTCCTGCATTCATAGCTGAGGTGTACATCCAGTGATTTATCTTCAACCAATTTCCGTATGAATCTGATTTCATGGAACTTGAAGTCGAAACTTCCGAACCGCGCAGTCACTCCTGAACCAGCTCCCATGGACTTGCTTTCTTGGGATGCAGACATTCCATGATAGTCAGAAAGGACGAATCGCAAGGACGCGTGAGCACACGTACGCATGTTCTCCGTTGTTCAGTTTGTCCACCAGAGCAGTGCACACTCCACAGTAGCTACCCTGATGCTACAGAACTCCGTTGGAACAAATTCTTCAGGACGAGGAGAAACTCGTTGTTCATTGAAATGTTTATTTGTGATACTTTCGAGCTCCGATAATGTATTCGCTGCAACGAGAAGGGCGTGGTAACGAGCTCGTCCTGATGGCTTTTAGTGCATGTATCCGTGGGTAAGCAAGATATGCTGCTCATACAAACTTTTAGCTTTCCGAATAGGATTCCCCGCGAAAGTCTTTTACTTCCTACAAATATCGAATGAGTTTGTGTATAGGGGTTCGAAGCGTATGAATTCATCGAGCTTTAATATTGACCCAGATACTGTATTCCCGTCTCAGATTTCGTTCAAAGATAAATTCAAACTTATTTCCACCTTTATTATGGCGCCAGGTCTGCCGTTCGCCTTCTGCAAATCAATTAAGCTTGTTCAGAAATCAATTGGAAAATGTTTGAGACCGATTGGGTAGTCATCGTTTCAGAGGGGTTTGGTAAACAATCGATGGATTTAACACTGGGCAACGTTTCGCCTTTGACACAAAGATTCTTCAGGCCAAGTGAGTAAATAACCAGGTTGATCGGGTTTTAAGGCAGTCAGAAAACCAACCCGAGAGATTTATGGCAAACCGAGTTGATCAGTGCTGGGTGTCGATCTGAATTTCCTGTTCGTTGGTTGGTGGGGATGACTAGGCAGTCAGACAACCCGAGAGATTTATGGCAAACCGAGTTGATCAGTGCTGGGTGTCGATCTGAATTTCCTGTTCGTTGGTTGGTGGGGAGGGATGACTTTTACGATAGAATGGTTAGGGGGGTTGTCTCTATGTTGAAACCGGATTCCACGGCCTTGCTTTTCCGGTCTAAGACATCTCAATGGAATATTCCTTTTGAGGTTCGTTCGCAAATTTAGTTCGCCGGGACAATACGTTTTGGGTTGCCGGGTGGTATGGTTAAGTGGACGCTATCCTGATTGGATTTTGTACTTTTAGACCCAACCCAGACCACTGATAATTACACATCGCCTTGTATCATCTCGGCTGATCTAAAACCGTTCTCTACGTGCTTGCCAGTTCTACGCCCTCTGCTCTGTTCACGCTGAGATGCTTGGCGATTTTCACTGCCTCAGCCACAATTCACTGTGATGTAAATCTTAGTCCTCGCCTCAGAATGTCCACATTTTAAACCCAGACCATTTGGCTGATAACTGCACACCTCGTGTCATCTCGACTGATCTGGAAACACTGCACAGCTATCAGTTCTACACCCTCTATTCTTTCACGCCGGGACGCTTGGTAATTTCCACTGTTTCGGCCATTCCCCCGTTCAGAATGTCCACTTTCTTCAAATCTATCTTGTGCCCAGTGTCTGGTGCATGTCTTGCCATTGCCGAATCTTTGACTATCCCGTGATGTTCATCTACGTTTCAAGACGGTCTTTTAATGCATCAATTATGCTAACCAACTCTGGTGTACCATCCCCTGACTGTCTGACCTATATAAGCCTTCGTACAGTCGTTACATTTTATTTTGCATACACGATTCCTAGTCCTGACAACCGAAAGACGATCCTTCGGCTGCATCAACACTGAGCGGAAAGTCTTCCCCCTCTGTAATGCTACTCTAATGTTAACAGTATTCAGCACCTTTCTAATGATTTCAGAGGTCCCTGTTTTATGAGGAATGACTGCTATTTCGATCTACTCCTTGTTGGGCCTTGGTGTTGGCACCAATACCCGTCTTAGTTGCCGCTTAATTACACCCACTGAGTATCCGCTATCTTGTAGTCGCTTTTTTACCTCAAGTTGTGCTCCTCTTCGGTCGACCTCCTCTGTACACAGTGCTCTCACTCTCCTAAACATCGCTGAGGCTATGCTAGCATATACTGCTTTTGGATGTGCAGAGGAGTAGTTTAAGACCGCACCGCTATCTGTTGATTTCCGGTATACAGTGTTTTTTTTTAATTTCCCACCACTCTTGTGTGTCATGCAGTCAAGGAAAGCTAGTGTGCCCGATGTGGACTCTAGCTCCATGCTAAACTTAATGTGAGGGTCCAATGTATTCAGATGTTGAAAGAGTCAGTACTACATAGCCGCCTGTACCTAGTTGGAAATTATAAGTGGAGTGTGGCCTTCCTCTTTTTTACTTATTGTTGTTCATTTTTTCGTGGCTCACACCCGGACTGAATGTGAGCAGATAAATACCCTCCGTGTACTCATTTGAACGAATTGCTGAGATGTATGAGCACTTTAGAACTGTCTCAGACAGCATCCAGCTCGTTTTGGATATTTGGCGATAAAGAACCGTGTTCGGCGTGCATTCCTCTCGTTCGTTTTGGACATAGCCGTAAAGAACGGGATCCCTATCCGATGAAGATATGGGCATTGCTTCAAACTGTTTGATCGAATTTTCCGATCAGCACACGTGTCCTTGTGCGTATAAAATTTCGAATATCCCATTCATGTGGACCCGACGTAATCGAGTCTCGTTCATTTCCAGTGGTTAGTTTGGAGCGGCGTTATTTATAATGGTTGACGTAACCACATGCTCTTCTTACGATGCAGTGTGCACCAAAAAGTTCTTTATTTATTTTCCCTTCAGCTAAACGGTTCCGATCTATGAACTCTTGAACATCGTACAAAACGTATATCATTCGTGCTCTCTAGGAGCGGAACGTTCTACAGCTTTCTGGACAACGTGCTGATCTGTGTGTTAGATTCTCGCCGATGTAACTTTTCTCATTGTTTCCTTCAGACTGTCTTCCTTTGTTCCTGTTTCTTCCCCATTTCCCCTCCCAGATGGTGGCACAAAGAGATATCTTTTCTACTCACGCTCTCTACCTGTCTACGTCAGTCTTTCTATTCACTGGTCTATCCCCCTCCCCCTCCCTCAATATAGTCACATTATTCCTCATCCCCCCTTGTGCATCATGTTTCAGACGAGTGTTTTTTATATCTGTTAAAGGTTTTGCGATGTTCTTTTTATTGGATTTTGTTATCAAACGGCAATTAGAGGTTCTAGGCTCGAGGGAATGCCGTTGCAACTGGTGAAAAGTAGTTGGATCCATAAGGAAGCGTGAACTATTTTCATGAAGGGAACTACTCCCAAGGTTGCTGAAAACTCTTCGACGGCCCACGACCGGTTTCGCCCTTCTTGGAGCCCATCAGGTAGGCGCAGTCCCCGAGTTTCCGTCAACGTCATGTCCTACCTGAACGTTCACTATTCTATGACTGGTCCGAAACTTGCATTCCTACGCATCGAGCCAACCTATTCCCGAGTATGTTATGTGTAGTTGCACTGCGGATGGTAGAAGTGCCATATATTGTCCAGTTTCACCTGAAACCGCTGGTCCTGCATTCATAGCTGAGGTGTACATCCAGTGATTTATCTTCAACCAATTTCCGTATGAATCTGATTTCATGGAACTTGAAGTCGAAACTTCCGAACCGCGCAGTCACTCCTGAACCAGCTCCCATGGACTTGCTTTCTTGGGATGCAGACATTCCATGATAGTCAGAAAGGACGAATCGCAAGGACGCGTGAGCACACGTACGCATGTTCTCCGTTGTTCAGTTTGTCCACCAGAGCAGTGCACACTCCACAGTAGCTACCCTGATGCTACAGAACTCCGTTGGAACAAATTCTTCAGGACGAGGAGAAACTCGTTGTTCATTGAAATGTTTATTTGTGATACTTTCGAGCTCCGATAATGTATTCGCTGCAACGAGAAGGGCGTGGTAACGAGCTCGTCCTGATGGCTTTTAGTGCATGTATCCGTGGGTAAGCAAGATATGCTGCTCATACAAACTTTTAGCTTTCCGAATAGGATTCCCCGCGAAAGTCTTTTACTTCCTACAAATATCGAATGAGTTTGTGTATAGGGGTTCGAAGCGTATGAATTCATCGAGCTTTAATATTGACCCAGATACTGTATTCCCGTCTCAGATTTCGTTCAAAGATAAATTCAAACTTATTTCCACCTTTATTATGGCGCCAGGTCTGCCGTTCGCCTTCTGCAAATCAATTAAGCTTGTTCAGAAATCAATTGGAAAATGTTTGAGACCGATTGGGTAGTCATCGTTTCAGAGGGGTTTGGTAAACAATCGATGGATTTAACACTGGGCAACGTTTCGCCTTTGACACAAAGATTCTTCAGGCCAAGTGAGTAAATAACCAGGTTGATCGGGTTTTAAGGCAGTCAGAAAACCAACCCGAGAGATTTATGGCAAACCGAGTTGATCAGTGCTGGGTGTCGATCTGAATTTCCTGTTCGTTGGTTGGTGGGGATGACTAAGATTTACGATAGAATGGTTAGGGGGGTTGTCTCTATGTTGAAACCGGATTCCACGGCCTTGCTTTTCCGGTCTAAGACATCTCAATGGAATATTCCTTTTGAGGTTCGTTCGCAAATTTAGTTCGCCGGGACAATACGTTTTGGGTTGCCGGGTGGTATGGTTAAGTGGACGCTATCCTGATTGGATTTTGTACTTTTAGACCCAGACCATTTTGCTGATAATTACACATCGCCTTGTATCATCTCGGCTGATCTAAAACCGTTCTCTACGTGCTTGCCAGTTCTACGCCCTCTGTTCTGTCCACGCTGAGATGCTTGGCGATTTTCACTGCCTCAGCCACAATTCACTGTGATGTAAATCTTAGTCCTCGCCTCAGAATGTCCACATTTTAAACCCAGACCATTTGGCTGATAACTGCACACCTCGTGTCATCTCGACTGATCTGGAAACACTGCACAGCTATCAGTTCTACACCCTCTATTCTTTCACGCCGGGACGCTTGGTAATTTCCACTGTTTCGGCCATTCCCCGTCTCAGAATGTCCACTTTCTTCAAATCTATCTTGTGCCCAGTGTCTGGTGCATGTCTTGCCATTGCCGAATCTTTGACTATCCCGTGATGTTCATCTACGTTTCAAGGCGGTCTTTTAATGCATCAATTATGCTAACCAACTCTGGTGTACCATCCCCTGACTGTCTGACCTATATAAGCCTTCGTACAGTCGTTACATTTTATTTTGCATACACGATTCCTAGTCCTGACAACCGAAAGACGATCCTTCGGCTGCATCAACACTGAGCGGAAAGTCTTCCCCCTCTGTAATGCTACTCTAATGTTAACAGTATTCAGCACCTTTCTAATGATTTCAGAGGTCCCTGTTTTATGAGGAATGACTGCTATTTCGATCTACTCCTTGTTGGGCCTTGGTGTTGGCACCAATACCCGTCTTAGTTGCCGCTTAATTACACCCGCTGGGTATCCGCTATTTTGAAATCGCTTTTTTTACCTCAAGTTGTGCTGCTCTTCGGTCGACCTCCTCTGTGCACAGCGTTCTCTCTCTCCTAAACATCACTGAACTATACTAGCATATACTGCTTTTGGATGTGCAGAGGAGTAGTTCAAGACCGCCCGTTATCTGTTGATTTCCGGTTAACAGTGGTTTTTAATTTCCTGCCACTCTTGTATGTCATGCAGTCAAGGAAGGGTAGTGTATCCAATGTTGACTCTAGCTCCGTGCCAAACGTAATGTTAAGATGTTGAAAGAATTCGTTAACCTTAACCCGCTCTATCACAACGAACTGTCTTCTACGTAACGCCAGCAAACCCATGGCGGACATTAGAATCTGTCTGAAACTTTCTGTTCAGATTCTTCCGCGTACATGTTGGCCAAGATCGGGAATATTAGAAATCCCATCACTGGGCCTTGTTCTTGAGAGTATATAATTGAGTCGAAAAACAAAATGACTTATGCCTTTAATGATCTCGTCTACAGAAAGTTGCGTTCGTTCCTGAAGCGTTGTGTCTGACGGTAACAGCCTTCTCGCTACTTCCAGAGCGTCCGCTTTAGGGACATTGGTATACGTCTCTTCTGTCGCTTCCAAGTGTTTACCATTGTCACGTTCCGCCATGTCAATCACGACTACAGTGATGTTCATCCTAATGCTCACTGTCACGTACTGTGTTTGTTGAGCGGATCTTGGCAGCGTTATCGATCCTCTTCAGTCGCTATTTTAGTGACTGATGAACAACACCGACCAATCTGGAACAACCATTACTTGATGAACCTATGAAAATAGGAGAACATATTTCAACCTCAAAAAATGTATTGATCAAGAGCACGAGAGACGCGATATGCACTTGAAAAGCGATTTGATGAGTCACAACTTTGGATATCACATTTCAAGATCTGAATAAGCTCCTTAGTGTCAACCGTACCAGTGTTGAATGCCGATGTTCTCCTGTCTTCTAGTCATTATTTATTTTTGGGAAGTCTTGTTATGGAGAAAACAAACGAGCAAGGAATTGGGTCTAATGTTAGACCAACACAAATATTCTGAGGTCTTTCCGCTCTTCCAGACCAGCTGTATAAATACGAACAATAAAGACGGAATCGGCCGACTAGCAGCCGTAACTCGCGACACTTTCCAAATAGGGTTGAAGGCGATGAGGGCCCCATCTCAGATTGAAAGACAGTGCTCAAGCTTTTCTGCCATATCAGATGACCTCCGCACTGTTCGAAATATTGTGAATTGCCTACTGAAATCACTTTCCTACATGCAATGAAATCGCATGCGCAATGCACGAGCTGCTGTGCTAGCATGTGTCGCTGGCTACATTCTTTGGCGGAGGTCTCTTTGTAGAACCGGATCATTTAGTTTCTGAACTTCTAGTTAAGCAGCCCTTTGAACCAGAACATGTAAGTTACAGTTTTGAAAAGTTGTCACTGAAGGTCGTTTCAATTTCGCTGTTCAGAGAGACTAAGTGAAAATGAGCTCCCATCGCCATCTGTTGCGAGCTGGATTCGGATCCACAGACATGCACTGACCTCACCTGTTATCCCCTTTTTGGAGTTTACATAAACTACAAGGTGCGTAAGACATCTCACAACTCAGGTTTGAGAATGGGGTGCGGTAACCCACTGTGCATCCAGGAACTTGGTCTTATACATTATGGATGCAAGATATGTACGAACCGTTAGGCGTGATTTTTCTCGGTTTTGGTGCAAAACACCTACTCCTTTTAGCTTTTTCAGAAGTGAGACCAGCGTTTATAGATTCTAGGGTATTAAACTGACCTTAGTTCACAAAATAAACTTATTCGCAAACCAGTTTGGCTTTACGGGAGGCTGGAGTGGATCTCACTCAGATTTCTAGTTTATGGCACCCTTTAACTGGGTATGCTACTATTCTTGCGCATCATATGGGTTCAAGCAGAAAATGAGGTTGACGGAATCTAGGGGACTGTGTTTACCTGATGAGCTACAAGGACAAGAACGTCGTGATTAGTCGATGAATTTTCAGCAACCTTACCAGTACTATATATTGCTCTAGACTTCACTTCAGCTCAATTTGATAATGTGATTCGTATATACGGTGACTCGGGTCGCTCCATCGTGTGACAGAATATATTTTAGAACAAAGGTACTTGTCAAAATAAAGAGGCGACTAATAAAGGAATGGTGAATCGACAGTTAGGAATAAGAGAATATATACAGGGGTGACATGGCTGTGATTGCCAGCTCGACATCACAGGCAAAATGCATCTGCGCGTCTGGGACCCCTTATTTTTTATGCATCGTCTGCAACCTATGCATTCCACACCTTATGTATTCGAGTTGGAACTTTTTTCAGTAAACAGGGCATGTCGAGCTATTAGATCATGCAGCATACAAAACCTGCGTGACCAAGCTTACTAGGTGCAACCTAATCATGTCAACAATTATTTGTTGCGAGAAACTACCCCTTACACCTCATTACTGCTGGTCCGGTGTCCCCAAGTTGCATATCTTACTCTTCAAAGGCACTGACCAAAGAACAGCAGTCTTCCATGTATAGTTATTGGGTTTTCAACTGTCAAACAACATTTGATACTGCAGCTGGCTAGCTAATATCACGTCGACGACGGAGGTGTCTAATTCTGGGAAGCCAGAACAGGCTTCAGCGATTCCACTATTCACTTGGTTTGTCTTGATTCCAGGCAAGATAATTCTCTCTCTTCTGGTTATGCCGCGACCATATTTGGTGTTACAGCACCCATTCAATTCCGCAACATCACTCTGAATGTTCAAAACTCTTACCGAATCACGTGGCCACATTATTCAGGTTATTTAGTATAATTCACTTCAGTATGGTTTCGGAACAATGTAGCGCTGCATCGTCCACATACTCTCAGCCTTTCCCAAAGGAATGTTTCAATCTGGGAATATTAGGTGTCTCGAGAATTTCCTTGCCGAATTGTTTGGCTACGAATCTGAGACCGAAAGAGGATTATTAGCAGCCTTGGTGAGAACCAATGTAATGAACTCAGTCGTGAACTCGCCTTGGCATATCATTTCACAAAAATAGTTCAGTGTTGTCAGGCCCCATTCAATGATCGACCAATTATGAGAGGCTCACGATGCGATCCAGCCTCCTGGTGGCAAGCCAGTTTGGCTCCAACGTTATGTTACAACCAAGACGGAATCTTTGAAGGACGCGCAATATCAGACATTCCAAATGGGCGAAACAAAATTGCAACCGAGATTCCATATGGTACTATTAATGTAAAAAAAAACGTCGAATCAAAAACGCAGGCCTCGACGGTAACTAATCATTGGTGACAAGCTATTCACTGGTAGCACGAAGGTACGAACAATCTGAATGAAATGGGTCGAAGCATGTGAGGCAGTCTGCTGTGCACCGGGCATGACTTTAAGTGATCTAATGGTTTCAAGGTCAAATAAGCAAAGTGGTCAAACAAACACCGGTTCACGTGTATGCAAAGGTGGATCGGGAGTCACAGATGAGAACAGAGAATGATACAAGTTATTTCAACTCAGCTTTCGCCTTGTAAGCGAAGTCGAGCTGGAATCACTGTGGAGCAGTTGTATCTCTGTTTGAAAACAGAAGTGCGCGTCTGATGAAACTCTAGTGGGTTCCTAATCCGTGGCCTTAACCGTTATACCATTCTTCCATGAGTAGTCAATTATTATTGTGACTGACTTGGAATTAGACAGGATTTACCACCACTGACGTTTCAGACACACGGTTAGTGTTACCCGATCCGTCTTTACTCACTTTCATGGTAAATTTGGAGTGATCTCGGTTTCCATTCACAGTAGCACCAAAGCATCACTCAAGAAGTCATTCATTTTGTTCGTGCAAGTTTGAATTGACTACTTCGAAAGTGACCATACGGTTCAGAGGAACATCGCGCATTTGATTTTTAAATTCATTCAACACAACACAGACGAAGGCCATTGAAAAATTTGTGATGCAGCTACTTCGATCAGAACCTAACGTGTCACTATGCCCTTTAACCTTTGTTCGAGAAATTTGTTTGTGTTAATGCGTAGAAACTTTACCAGCATGTTCAGAGTTCATGTTGGTTCATACCTCCACAGATTGTTTCCTGGATGAAACAAAGAAAAAGCCAGCCTAAAACTGGGGTAAGTAAGTCAACTTGGATTACCTCAAACCTCGTCAAGAAATCTGCCTCTTGCAGTTGGAAACGCCAAAAATCACTATTGACCAGGGACGGCTGGTAAAACGACAGTCGTTTTTTCAGTAAATTTATGCTACTTGGCGGAAAAGAAGTAGCAGAAAGCCAAGCCACATTTGCGTGCGGCAGCCATCAGTTTTCATTACTCAGTCCGGTCAAATTAATTTGCCCAAACACATTTTTGATTAAGTATTGCGAGTACTACTTATGGATGACAAAGAAATATAGCTGTCACCGTGACTGACATAAAGACGGACTTTAGGCCAGCAAGAACCGCCAGTTCATTGTGGTGGGTGTGCGTAGAATTCAGACGGAAAACGCGGAACCCTCTTGTCAATATGCCATTTCGTAAGGTTTAAGAAACTGAGGGAGAAAATAAGAAGGACAGTGCTTGTAGTATAGGGGCATTTTTCCAAAGGG